TGCGCTCCGGGCTGTGCAGCTGCTCCTGGCTGCGCGCGCGGTCGCTGGGCCGCCCCCGGCTCGGGCTGTCGTCCCAGCTGTAGCTCCGCTCGCCGTGGCTGCTGCGCCAGCTCCGTTCGCTGTACCCGCTGCGGGTGCTCCTGCCGTCAAACTCATCGATGACCTCGAAAGCCTGGTCATCGTGATCCATGGGAGGGCTGCTCCTAAGGGGGGCCAGCTGGACTTTCCGGGGCCTCTTGACCACCTGTCAGCAGAACAGACATAGCAGCACGCACGTATGACAATCAACACACAGACCGTGGTGACTATGAACTCTGTGCGGTTCCAGTAAAATAGTGCCTTCCTGACAACCCACTGAACCTCAGGTTCCTCACCTGATAAAGGGACAACGAAGCCACTGTGCAGAAGGCTGAGAACAACAAGAAGTGAGTGTGCAAAGCTCTGTGCACAACAGCTCTAACGAACAGTCCTGCACTCTATGGTACAACAACGGTTTAAGACAACAGATCTTACAGATGAGGCTTCTGGCTACCTTTATTTATAAATTACTACTTTTTTCTATATTAACACTGACTAGGATTTCTCTCCCCTTACATTAACCCAAGTTTAGTGTTGTTTTTCCTAAATGAATATTGTTTTACCTGTTTAATTCTCTTAGGAGTAACCAACCAACTTGCTCCCTAAAACAGATTAACTCAGATGAGAAAATGACTAGTCTTTGCAAGTCAGGAGAAAGAAGAATTGAAAAGACCAAACTCATCACTAAATACCCAATACTAAAGCCCTTCCTTGTTCCCAATCCATTCCAACTCACAGTGACTTTAAAGTACAGGATTTTCAAGGTATAACATTTACAGAAGCAAATTGGTCCCATCTTTCTCCTACAGGGGCTGGTGAATCAAACCAACCATTTTCAGTTAACAATGGAGTGCTTTTAGCACTGCACCACTGGGTTGTCAGTTTAAAAGACAGAGGAGGAGGGTAAGGTGTAAGAACCCTTGAAAATTGCCTTTTCTAGCCATTGCATTATCCCCCAGTGGGGTGCATGGTCTCCATCTACCTTAACTGTGGACACATGATCTTATAAATCATCAACAGCTATGAGACCAATATAAGAGAGTGCTTTCTACACTGTGGGAGATGGTGAAAGGACTGTGAAGATACTGTGAGAGATGGTGGTAAAGAGAAGGTGAAGAGACTGTGGAACTGCTGTGAAGTAACTGTGGCAAGGTGTAAGCAGAAAAACCATGGAGACAGAGCCACAATTAAAGGTTTTGCATGCTGGATGATTAAAGGGAAAGCTGACTTGTTACTGCTCTTAGATAAAGTTTGCTGGACTAATTTAGGAAACCACAAGTTTATTTGTGCTGCTGAACTGAACCTATACTTTCATTTGTTGGCTGAGAAGCTGTTTGAACAAACTTAGGAATGACACCTTGTTAAGATAGCTTGTGATTACTGGACTAAACCTGGACTTACATTGTGTTATATTTTTTTGCCTCCTCTGTTCTCTAACCTATTTCTCTAATAAACTCCACCACTGTGAGTAAAGTCTGTGAGTCAATGAACACTGGATCCAATGATTTGCAGAAATAGGTGCAGGAGCATATGGGGTGGCATATTTCACCATGCCACTATTTGTATGGTACCATGGATATTGCTGATGGGGAAATTTCCCTTTATGAAGAGGGAAGAAGTCAAGACTCGTCCACCCCTGTGAGTTCCATCCTCTCTTTTTACAGTAACCAGCTTACATCTTTACATCATCTGTAGCATTATCCTCCATACATCTGGAGCATATAAGAAATGGCCCCTGTTGTTGTTGCTTAAAATAAGAGGCAATTTTCTCCTGAGCATAAAAGGAAAATGCTACTGAGGTGGACGCAAACAGGAACTTACAATAGCAGCGATCTTCCCACTTTTTCTCAGCTGCTGAACAGCAAATGAATGGAGTACATCCTCCATCGGGGTCCCGTTGACCATGACCACCCGGTCATTTTCTCTGTAAGCAAACAAGAAACAATAGATTTCATCAACATGCCTATCAAAGGGAAGGATTCATGAAACACACATCTCACTTCAGCAGCACCCACTGGGGTGGAGACTATTTGGGCTGAGAGTGGGAGGAGAAAGCTGCTCCCTCAAACTTCAGGGTCCCTCCTGGAGGCCTCCAACACTCCTGAGATCTGGGGCAAAAAGGAACTTCCACACCAAAGCCTGCTTACCATGCCATGGGCACCAGAAAACCCACAACTATTTCCCACATTGGGTTCATATCCATATGCTTTAGGGCAGGAGAGAGGTCAAAGCCTGCCCCAGAAAGAAACTTTGAGGTTATAGAACTCTATTACTTAATTCAGGTAATTAACTTCAGCATGTATTCTGAGAATTACCCCGAGGGGACACAGGCATCTTTGACAATGGCTGTGTCTTCTCAGCCCAGAGGACAGGCATCTAGAAACCTCCTGTTAATGTAGTAAATTCTCCCAATTTTCAAATGATTCTTACAAACAAGATATTTATTAAACCAGAGTATCGTCTCCTTATTAAAGACATTTTTTTTTCTTGCCTCTTTATTGTTGTTTGGGTAAAAGTTTAAAGAGTTAGTTTCCCATTCAACAACTTCTACATATTTTGTTTCACGATATTAGTTAGAATTCTCTCGATGTAACTATACCCGTCCCACTTCCTCCTTGGGTCTCCCACTTTTATTCTCCCAACTTTCCTTCCTTTGTGCCTTCTGGACTTCACTTTTGGGCAATTGCTGGCCTATGGTCATTAAAGTCTTAAATAATATAAATCAAAACAAGCACAAACAGAATTGGGCAGGCACAGTGGGGGAGGGGAGATGTCTATTTTACCAACCATGCTCAGAAGATTCCTAAACCAGGAGTGACATTTGTAACGAGGCTTCTACAAAAACAACTGTTGCCCTGGTATCCACAAAATTTATGGTCTGGATCTTCCCAAAGGTTTGTTGTTGTTAAGTGCCATTGAGTCAAGTACGATTCATAGAGACCCTACAAACAACACATCTGAAACCTGTGCTGTCCTGTGGCATCCTCAGACTACACACAATACATTATGCTCTGGATTCCTGCTTGAGGACAAATTACATGAAAGTTTAATATAACTTTGTGTAAGAGGCACACCATCCAGTGGGGCTGGTGGGGATAGGACACTCACTGGAGCAGCCCATCTGCAGGCCCGCCTGGGAGCACATCAGAGATGACGATGGATGTCTCTCCATTTTCAAAGTGGGGGTTGTCTCGGCCTCCAGACACTGCAATCCCAAATCCTCTTTTGGAATCCTATTCATTGAGTTAGGAGAGAAAAAAAAAAGAAAGAAAGAAATCCTCTGCAAGAGGCTTTCAAGATTTCTTACAAGCACTCTGTAGAAGTCAATCCAGTAAAGAGACAGGTCAAGAATAGGTGGCTATAGAAACATGGGGCAGTACACCCATTTCTACTATCCAAGGACTCCCCTAATCCACCTCAGCCACACTCAACTCATTACAGGCTCTCAGCTGCTGTGTTGCTATGCTCTGTTAAGTACCATCAAGTCAGAACCAACTCAGAGCTGACCCTCTGGCAGGTTCTTCAGAAGCAGCAAATCACATGGGAAGAGACTGCCCATCTTCCTCCCATCCAGCCGGTGGATTTGAACTGGGTGCCTCTCAAAAGATGGCAACACCAATCTTAACACTAGGCCACCAGAGCTCCCTAGCTAGTCACTCCTGAGGAGCTCTGGTGGTGCAAAGGTTAAGTGACTGGCTGCTAACCAAGAAATCAGTGGTTTGAACCCACCCAGTAGCAATGTAGAAGAAAAGATCTGGCAAGCTGTTCCCATAAAACGAGAACTGTAGAAAACTTAGGGGGCAGTTCTACTGGGTCCAATAAGGGCCACTGTGGGTCAGAATCAACAACAGCAAATAACATTCATATTCTTTTGTGTTTGCTTATGTGTCCATTTGGGCAAAAGGCATATTGGGTACAGAAGTTGAGTTGGCTGTCGTCTCTAATGGAAGCAGACTGCCAGGTCTGGTCCTTCCACAGTTCAAATCAGCAACCTTTCGTGTCCCAGCCAATTACAGTCTGCTCCACTCAGGGACCTTCACCACAAGATTTACTATGCAAGTATTATGCCCTTGATCCCATGGACACTAGGTACCTACTTCAATCAAAAGGGGCAAAACCTGTGAAAAGACTTTACAAATTAAGTAAAATATATTTAGATGTAGTATTACTTTTATTTTCAACTTCCATTACCAAAACCAAAACAACCTACCAGGAATTTCTTTTTTCATTTGGCCTCTCTTATTACATAAAACTGGGGCAAGGAATATCACCTGTGTCTCCTGATTCCTAAGCCAATATCTTTTCAATTTAATTTGGACTCAACTCACAGAGGGAAATGAAAATTCTAGAAGTTGTTGAAGTTGTCAATGCAAGTTAGTGTAACTAATTAAGGGCAGTTTAAATTGTCATTAAAAAGTCCTGATTATTTTCCTTCTCTTCCCCCCGCACCCCGCTTCTTTCCTTGATAAGATGTCCTGTCTGTAGATCACTCTCAAACTTTCCTCATTGTCAAATAAGAACCAACTCACAGCTGACCCTCTACCAGGCTTCTGTGCTGTAAACCGCACAGGAAGAGACTGCTCATCTTTCTCCCTCAGAGCCACTGGTGGGTTCAACACCAGGGAGGCTCAGCCTTTGAGCACTGCAGCTCCCAGTGGGCTGCGCCACCAGTGTCACTCCCTGCAGAATGGTATCTACTAAATAAGCTCTAAAGTCTCAGCCACAAGCTGGAAGGCCAGCAGCCTAAACTCATCCTGATACAAAAAAAAAAAAAAAAGTCTGGTGATGGTTTTCTCTCTTAAAGATTACAGCCTAAAAAACTCTATGGGGCACTTCAACTCTATCAACTGCAAGGCAGCTATGTGTCAGAAGTGACCAAACAGCACCTAATAACCACAAAATGTTCTACATTCTACCGCCTCTACCCCAAAAGTACTATCACATACACATTGCTATTAACTCAATAATTATTCCCAGGTTGCTACCTACCACAGGGAGCTCTGGTGGCCTAGTGGTAAATAAAAAGTTGCCCTCCCACCCCAAAGGCATGCTCTTTGAATCTACCAGCTGCTACAAGGGAGAAATACGGGCAATTTTCTCCTGTGTGATTTACAGTCTCAGAAAACCCACTAGAGGGTCAGCTATGAGTCGGTTCTCACTGGAGATCACACAACACCACCACTGCCTGGTATAAAACTACATTTTGCAAATCAAGAGGACCAAGCAGGAGACAGTAAGCGCACACACTCACCTTCTGGAGGGTCACTGTGTACTGCTCCCATATCAGTTCTTCCATGCCGTGGGCCTGTATGACAACAATCAAAAGCAATACAATTAAAACCACAAGCATTACAATACTAGAAATAGAGCTATAATTCAAAACATCTCCACATAAAGTCCAATTTGAATTTCCCGAATGCCAAAAAAGACTTGAGGCTTGTTAGGAATATTAAGCTGCCTATTTTTCAAACACATTCTTCTTTAATGAGACAGCAGTCTTACAGTAACAGAAAATTAGTGACTTACACAGTCAGAGATATAGCCTAGAAATAATATGTAAATGTTGAAGCCTTTCACTTTACTGCTCCAAAACACAGACATCATAAAATCCTTTTAAAAAAAATAAAAGATAACCCAAAGTGGGATAACTTCAAATGGAAACGTCTCTTTTTCAAGGTTTGAGTTTGGTGGGCAGAAGGAGGGGGTGAAGGAAATAGGACAGATCCAGTGGGCACAGATCAATAGTGGTTAATTTTCTAAAACACAATATAAGGAAATGATCATATAAAACACAATGTGAATGAAATAATGTGTGAAATGCATTGTATATGAATGGGGGGAAATCTTTTAATGAAAAAAATTCCAACAATAAAATGGAAAAATAATAATTGTCAGCAAACCAATAAAAAAAGTTCTTGTTTTCTGCAATTTTATATCTAAAGGAATCCTTGGCATTCTCGTAACAGGGTTGAAGTAGGTCATACTTCTCAATCAGTGCTGCTGGGAGCAAATGATGGAGATGCCTGCCCAAAGAGACTACAGAAGCTTTGTTTCTGGCAATTGTCAAACTAGGTAGCTGGAGAAGCACTAAGAACAGTAGATGCCATTAACAACAAATAATACTAATCCATTAAACACAGGCTGTCTGACAGGAAATGTTTACAGCTAGCGATGCCAAGAAATCCCAAGCCAGAGTTCTGTGGGCACCAAGCAGGCCCTTATTCAGGGTGTGAAAAGTCAGCACCCACAGGCCCAAGCAGTGCAGAAGGCAGACAAGAGCGGGTCTATCAGAGTAGTAACTACCCTGCAGATGGTGATGGCCAACAGCTGGCTCCAAGAATCGGGATTATAAGACAGATGTTTAAAAACACAATTCAAACGACCTCTTGGGTTAAAAAAAAGCAAGCAAAGAAACCAAAAGAAATGGTCCCAGGATAAAGAAAGATGTATGGATTTACATTGTTCCATACCACAGCTGGCTGCTGGCATGCCTGGGACAGGGTGCTGCCAGTGATCGGGGAACAGAAGCATACGGGAAAAGGTGTTCTGTTAAATAAAGGCACAGGAACATAATGTGGCATGTGCTCTTGTTGTGGGTGTGCGTCACAGAATTGGTTCCAACTCAGTAACCCCACAGGACAGAGGAGATATGCTCCTGTTGTTGTTAAGCATCATCAAGTCAAAATCAACCCATAGTAGACCCTCAAGTAGGTGTTCAGAGGCTGTAAATGGGAGGGGAAGAGACTGCCCATGTTTCTCCTGCAGAGCAGCAGGAACTGGTGCATTTGGGATGGCAGCGCAGCTTCTTACCAGCAGGCCACCTGAGCGCCCGAGTGTTTCCTGTGGAAACCAGAGCCCACAGCGTTTCATAGAAGGAAGGTGCAAATCTCCACGGAAAGTCTTCTCCCTCAGAGGGGCTGGTGAGTTTAAACCACCACCGACCAACAGGTTAGCCCAGAGCTCAACGACTGTACCACCAGAGACCCTTACGAAATGTAACGGCAGAAAAGACTTCCATTATTTTTTTAAGTTTATTAATAATGTTACATTTTCAACTAAAAAAAAAATATTGAGTGTGTGCACGTGTGTGCGCGCACGGTAGTTACAGGCCTTTCCACTGTTGGTGAAAGTAGTGGGAGTTGGAAATGAGTACAACCCTTCTAAAGGGCTTATTACCAACAGGCACCAAAATTCAAAATCTGCACACCTCCCAATCTATGCCATCTCCAAGACTCTGTCTTACAGAAATGTTTGCACGAGTCAATGTGTAAGTTGGTGGATAGCAAAAAAACTCAAACTGCCCCGAGTCAGTTCCGACACACAGTGACCTGTAGGAGAACTGACCACACGGGTCTCCAGGGCTTAGTGGGGAGGATTTGCCATGTCAACCGTAATAAGGGATGTGGTTCCCTTCCACCAGCTGTTACTTGGGAGAAAAACGAGCAATCTCATCCCACGCGATTCACTGCCTCTGAAAGCTCACTGAAGGGTCAGCTATGAATTGGTTCCAACTTGACCAAATATAATGGTGATCTTTCCGGAAGCTGACTGGCACAGCTTTCTCTTGCACAGTACCTAATACCTACTTAAAATTTAAAACAAATAAACAAAATGCTCGCAAAACGATGATTGGTCATATATAAAGATTAATACATGAATATCTGTAATAGATGGGAGAAGACAAAAAGCATCATGATTTGTTCCTTTTTTTCATAAACATATTAGCAAAATGGAGCTCTGTTTGTATAGTACAGTATGTGCTATAATGCTAACTCAGAGGTTGGCAGTTCGAATCCACAAGATTCTCCAAAGGATAAAGATGGACAGTCACCTCCTATCAAGATTTACAGCCTCAGGAACCCACAGAGGTTTGCAGCTGACTCAAAGACAATGGGTCTGTGTATATTTATGTGAGCATGTATAATTTTTTTTTTAAAAAAAAAAAGGTTGGAAGACTATCAAAAAGGGTTACACAGTGAATTATTTTGATTGTAAATAAATTGTACACCTTCAAAAACCTGAACTGGCAATGTTGGAGCAGCTGCTGGCACTACTTACAGACAATCAAAAGCATCTCATGGTATTTGGTTTCTTGGTTTGGAAGTTTAGAGTCATTCTTTCATGGAACATTGCAAACTGGCCTATTACATGTTTGGTACTTCTGGTCTACCTCCCAGTTTATTGCAAAGTTCCTGGAGTTTTCAAAGTGTGTAAGCAGCCATTCAAGGGGCAATAACTGGTATCTATTCACGATCAACACCCTTGATACCAGTAGTCAAGAAACAAAAATATGTGTTACACTGGGGAAATCTGCTGTCAAATCTCAAGGGGTTAGGGAGCAATGAAGTCAGTTTAAAGATTAGGGAACACCTGATTCAAGCTATAGTCTTTTCAATTACTTTCTATGCATCTGAAAGTTGAACAAGGAATAAAGTTGACACAGAAGTACTGAATATCCCACAGACTATAAAGGAAAAAAACAGCCAAAAAAATATGGGTTGAAGAAGATGCAACCAGAGCACTCCTTAGAGGCAAGGAAGGTGAAACTTTCTTCACATGCTTTAGAGATGTTGTAAGGAGAAGCCTGTCCTTGTAAAAAGACATGCTTAGAAAGGCAGAGGTCAGTGAAAGAGAGAAAGATCCTCAGTGAGATGAATTGACACAGTGACTGTAACACCCTCAGAGATGATACGAGTGGCACAGGATAGGACAGGGTTCATAGGGTCACTGTTCTTAGATCTGTTCATAGGGTCACCATGGGTCATAGGTGACTCTATGGCACCTAACAACAACAGTCACCTGGAACAACAGAAGAGGAAAGAGTTTGAAACCAGAGGAGGATATGGAATGTGGGGCTAACTGCCCTGAGCCCAGGAGAATGAGATCATGCCTGACTAGCATCACCGAACATTTCATCAAAGATTCCTTAAGAGAATCCTGATCAAAAGAGGGGAAATGCTGAACAGAATTTCAAATCTCTGAGGCTCTAGACTTTTTAGAGTCATGGAAGGTTGAACCTCTGAAACTACTGTCTTGAGATAAACTTTAAGCCAAAAACTTCCCCTAAAGTCATTTCACATTTGAACAAAAATGTCTTTTTTAAAAAGTAGTAAAAATCTACAGCCAGGAGAAGATAAAATAGATGAATGGGACCTTCTAAGAATCAAATCCCTATGCACATCCAAAAACTTCTCCAACAGGGTAAAAGGGAAGCCACAGACTGGGAAAAAGTGTTTGGTAATGACATGTCAGATAAGGGACTTATATCTAGAATTTATCAAATACTTGAGCACCACAACAAGATAAAGGTAAATAATCCAATAGGAAAATGGGCACAGGGTATGAATAGACACTTCACCAAAGAAGACATTCAGATGGCCAACAAGCACATAAAGAAATGTTCAAAATCCCTAGCTCTAAGAGAGATGCAAATCAAAACAACTATGAGATATCTCACCCCAGTCAGAATAGCAAAATTTAACAGAACAGCAAGCAACAAATACTGGCGAGGCTGTGGAGAAACTGGAACCCTTATTCACTGTTGGTGGGAATGTAAAATGGTGCAACCACTGTGGAAGGCGGTATGGCACTCTCTCAAAAAGTTGCAAATAGAGATACCATTTGACCCAGCAATTCCACTACTGGGAATATATCCCAAAGAGACCATAACTGACATCCAAGCAGATATATGCACACTCATGTTTATCGCATCTCTGTTCACAATAGCAAGGAGTTGGAAACAACCCAGGTGCCCATCAACAAACGAATGGGTAGAGAAGCTGTGGTATATTCACACAATGGAATACTAGGCTGCATTGAAAAACAAGGAACTCATTCAATATTATTCAAAATGGGTGAGCCTGGAGGACATTATTCTGAGTGAAATATCTCAGTCGCAAAATGCCACTGCTGTAAAATGGGACGGATATCAGGGTGGGGGTAAGGCTGAGAAAAACTGGATAAATTGCCTATACTGCACTGAAACAGATGAGGGAGAGAATAATTTAAAAGCAATGTATGATAGGGTATTATGGTTATCACAAGAGTCCACAATTAAGGTTGCATAGTAGAATGTACTTGGGCGGTGGGAGAGGTGCGGGGGGATTGTGTACCAGGGAGGTAGTCTTTCTTTTACTTTTGAAAGAGAAGAGCGAACTGGGGGGCAGGGGGAGAGGGCTGGGTGGGGAGAGAAGTGCAGCAATGAATGAACGGAAATCCAAATTCTCTGTAAATGTTCATTAAAATTATTAAAAAAAAATTTAAAAAAGAAAAAAGTGGTAAAAAAAGTTGATTTCTCAAAAGAGAAAAAAAAAGTTGATTTCGAGTATTTTGCTTTTTTAAGAAATATTTGAGATCAAAGTCAGTACAGCAATGGAAAAGATTAGACAGGAACCTTAGAAAGGAAGTGAAATGATGTTAATGGAGAAGGAATAATTCAGAAAGGGGTGTGAGGATGTCACCAATGTCACAGAATTGTGTATGTAGAAACTTTTGGGTTGGTGTGGGCTTTCCTGTACACATCCTCTGACAACAAAATAAATAAAATTTAAAAGGGTGGGGGAAATTCTTACTAGTTAGCTAAGTAAATGAATTGCTGCAAAATCTTATTAAAATAATTGCTCCTACGTAGAACGAACTAGGCTTTGAAAATTCTGGTTCTAATGAGATGTGCTGCTGCAGGGGTAATTTAAATGAAATCTGTCATAGAAAGGATGAATGGACCACCATTACCTCTCCCAATGAGGCTGGCTCAAACTTGAACTCAGTCAGACCTTGCAGTCAAATTGACCACGATGTCACCAACTTTATATAAAATTGATCAGACCCTAAGGGTCAATCAGCTGTGACAGAAACCATTAATTGCTTTAAAAATATTTTTAAAGAACTTGTGTTCTAGTAAACATAAAAGAATGTGTCTGATTAACATGTTAATCAAATGTACAAATATTTGTTTTAAACTCATTATCACAGAGGTAATGAAATGACAGTGAAAATTAATTTCAACAGCTTCTTTGAATATTCAAAATATATCTGAATTATGTATATTTCATCAACAGAGCTGTGATCCTTGTGAGGCTCTCACAGAAAACCATTCACTCAAAGGACACGGAGCACCCACCATATGCTAAAAATTACATGTCTGGTACTTTGGATAAAGTGAACACAATAGCCAGGGCTTGTGTGGGTTGGTTTATACTAACCAAGGATGTGCCTAAAAGGCAAAGAACTGATCATTATTCAACCAACCAAGGATGTGCCTAAACTGACCATTATTCCTCACTCATTTAGAGAATATGTGTATTTTTTTCCCCTTCCAAAATCAGAGTGCCCCACATAATCACACTTCTCCTCAGAACATCAATTCTGGATGCTTCCCTGAGGGCAGACAGGCAATGTGTATGGGCTTAGCTGGATGCTCTGCTCCTGTCTTCCCAACTGGGCCACCTGGGCTCTGGCTCCACCCAACCTGACCACAGCTGCGAGCTAGCAAGATGGCTGCAGCATCACTGGTGCAGACAGAGAACTGCTATTAATATTTAGACTCTGTATGGGTGTTTAGCATGTGGGGAGCTTTAAATATGGGACCGCAGGAAAAGGACATATATCAGACATGTGCACCCTACCATGTGATAATTCCTCTGCTGAGAAATGTGTGAACATGGACATGAGGACACACGGCAGAGAGTATTCATAGCCTGCGTGCCCTCGAAAGCCAAAATCTGGAAAGCAGCCCAAATACCTGGCAAAAGCACAACAGACAAATTGTGATATGACTAAAATGTGTTATCCTGCAATGAAAAGGCACAAACTACAACAACACAGTCACATCCCAATGTGGTGGGGTGTGAAAAACATCCTAAAAGAATTTACATATCTTTTTTTTAACTGCTCAAACAAAACTTAACACTTTTTGTAAGGGAACAGGTATATAGTAAAGTTATAAACCAAAGCAAAGGACTCACACTCAAACCCTGGGATGAAGTAGCATGAAGGGTATGAGCCAGAAAGGAGAGTTCTGTGTGCATTTCAGGGTCTGTGAAGGCCTCCTGGGTATTTGCGATGATGCTTGATAACTTTGTTTACTGTTGTTTCATGTGACTATTTTATATGCACCAAACATTTCATAGTTTTTAAGAACAAGCAGCATCAGCTTTATTAATAATGACCAAAAAATCATAAGCAACAAAGATGTCCTTCAAAAAGTGACTAGATATTTAAGAAACCGCGGTAGATCCATACAATGCACTAATATTTAATGACAAAAAGAAATGTGCTAGCAAGTCAGGAAATGACATGAAAGAACCTAAAATGAACATGCTAAGGGAAACAAGCTGTTCTAAAAAAGCTACATGAGGTATGATTCTAATTCTATGGCACTTTGGAAAAGGAAAGACTTTAGAAGCCATGAAAAGATCACT